TGGGTTAACAATGAGATCAAGGTAGAAACCAAAAGATACCATGAAACAAATAAAAATAAAAACTGTACAACAATCCAAAATCTATGGGACACAGAGAAAGCAGTCCTATGAGGAAAATTCTTAACAGCATAGGCCTACTTCAATAAACAATAAAAATCTCAAACTATCTAACCTTACACCAAGAGAAGAATGAGGGAAGTTATAAATATTAGAGTGAAAATAAACAAAATAAAGTCTAAAAAACAATTCAAAATATCAATAATATCAAGAGCTGGTTCTTTGAAAAGATAAACAAGACTGATAAACCTTTAAGCAGACTCATCAAGACGGAAAGAGAGAGGACCCAAATAAAATCAGAAATGAAAAAGGAGAAGCAACAACTTACACCAAAAAAAATGCATAGAATTCTAAGAAAATATTATGAACAACTATATGCCAACAAATCCAACAATCCAGAAGAAATGGATAAATTCCTAGAAACATACAACCTTCCAAAACTGAATCAAGAAACAGAAAATTTGAACAGACTGATTACAACTAATAAAACTGAAGCAGTAATTAAAAAAACAAACAAACAAAAAAACACCTCCCAAGAACTAGCACCTACTTTTCTTAAACTTTTCCAAAAATTTCAAGAGGTGGGAAGAGTCTCAAGCTCATTTTACAAGGCAAGCATTATTCTAAATCCAAAACCAGATAAAGACACTACAAAGGAAGAAATTTATAGGCCAATATCCCTGTTGAACACAGATGCAAAAGTCCTCAACAAAATTATTAGCAAATTGAATCCAGCAATACATGAAAAAAGATCATACACCTCCACCAAGTGGAACTGTATTTCTGGGATGAAAGGCTGGTATAACATCCACAAATCAATAAATGTGGTATACATCACATAAACAGAATGAAGGACAAAAATCACATGATCATATCAATAGATGCAGAAAAAACATTAGACAAAATCCAGTACCCATTTATGATAAAAACTCTCAGAAAAGTGAAAACAGAGGGAACATATCTCAACAAAACAAAGGCCTTTTATAACAAACCCTCAGCCAACATCATATTCAACAGGGAAAAACTAAACGCATTTTAAGATCAGGAACAAAACAGAAATGTCCACTTTCCACCATGGTTACTCAGCAGAGTACTGGAAGTCCTGGCCACAGTGATCAGACCAGAAAAAATAAAAAGCATTCAAAATGAAATGGAAGAAGTAAAATATCATTACTTGCAGATGACATGATACTGTACATAGAGAATCCAAAAGATTCCACCAAAAAACTACTAGAACTGATGAATGAATTCAGTAAAGTAGCAGGATACAAAACTAATATTCAGAAATTGGTTGCACTTTTATAAACCAATAATGAACTATCAGAAAGGAAAACTAAAACAACAATCCAATTTACAATTGCCTCAAAATAATAAAATACCGCCTGGCCGGGTGTGGCTCAGCAGTTGAGCACTGACCTAGGATCCAGGCGATCGGGGTTCGATTCCCGGTCAGGGCACATGCCCAGGTTGTGGGCTCGATCCCCAACCTCGGGGGCGTGCAGGAGGTGGCCGATCAATGACTCTCACATCATTGATGTTTCTATCTCTCTCTCTCCCTCTCCTTTCCTCTCTCTGAAATCAATGAAGATATATTTAAAAAAATAAAAAATAAAATATCTAGGAATAAATTTAACCAAGGGGGTAAAAGACCTGAATTAGACACTGAAGAAAGAAACTGAAAAAAATATAAATAAAAGCATATACTGTGCTCATGGATAGGAAAAATTAACATCATTTAAATGTTCATACTACCCAAAGCAATTTATAAATTCAACTCAATTCCTATATCAAGATATTAATGGTGTGTTTCACAGAACTAGAAAAAAATAATCCAAAAATTTCTATGGAACCACAATAGACCCCAAATAGCCACAGCAATCTTAAGAACAAAGTTGGAGGTATCATGCAACCTGATATCAGACTATACAACAAGGTTAGAGTAATTAAAACAGCAGGGTACTGGCATAAAAACAGGCGCTGGTCAATGGAACAGAACAGGAAGCCCAGAAATAAACCAACACCTACACGATCACTTAATATTTGACAAAGGAGGGTAAAAACCACCTATTCAATAAAGGGTGCTGGGAATACTGGACCGATACATGCAAAAAAATTTAAACCAGACCATCTTACAACACACACAAGAATAAACTCAAAAAGAATTAAAGACTTAAATGTAAGACCCTAAACCATAAAACTCCTAGAGGAAAACATAGGCAGTAAAATCTCTGGTATATCTTTTAGCAACATATTTTCTGACTTATGTCCCTGGGCAAAAGAAAAAAATAAACAAATAGGACTACATCAAACTAATAAGTTTTGCACAGCAAGGGAAACCACCAAGAAAACAAAAAGACAACCTACTGAATGGGAGAAGATATTTGCCAATGATACATCTGATGAGGGGTTAATATCCAAAATTTATGAAGAACTCGACATCTCAATGCCAAAAAACCACAAACAATTCGATTAAAAAATGGACAGGGGAACTGAATAGACATTTCTCCAAACGGGACATAGAGATGGCCAACAGACATTCTAAAAGATGCTCAAGGTCACTAATCATCAGAGAAATGCAAATTAAACCACAACGAGATACCACCTCACACCTGTCAGAATGGCTCCATCAACAAATCACCAAACAAATGCTGACAAGGAAGTGGAGAAAGGGAGCCCTAGGGCACTGCTGGTGGGAATGCAAATTGGTGCAGCCACTGTGGAAAGGAACATGGAGGTTTGTCAAACTATTAAAAATGAAACTACCTTATAACCTAGCAATGCCACTCCTGGGTATATACCCAAAGAAACTCAAAACACTAATTTGAAAGAATACACGCACCCCTATGTTCATTGCAGCATTATTTACAATGTAATAGCCAAGATATGGAAGCAGCCCAAGTGTCTGTCTATAGATGAGTGGATAAAAAGATGTGGTACGTATGTATACAATGGAATATTACTCAGCCATAAAAAAGAAGGAAATCTTACCATTGGCGACAGCATGAATGAACCTAGAAGGTATTATTGCTAAGTGAAACAGTCAGGGAAAGGCAAATACTATGTTACTTCACTTATATGTGAAATCTAAAGAGCAAAATAAAGAAACAGAAACAGACTCATAGACACAGAGAACAGACTGACAGTAGACAGAGGGAAGGGAGTGTTAGGGGACTGGGTGAAAAAGGTGAAGGGATTAAGGAGTACAAATTGGTGGTTATAAAATAGTCATGGAGACATAAAGTACAGCACAGGGAATATAGTCAATAATTTGTAATAACTATGTATGGTGCTGGGGGTACTGAATATACCAGGGCAACACTGTCTAACCACTATGCTGTGCACCTGAAGCTAATACAAAATAATACTGAATGTAAACTGTAAACTGAAAAATAAAATTAAAAGAAGAATACACTTCTTTTCACACATACTAAAATAATTTTTTCGTCCCACTCTGTTAACAGGGTTCTCCACTTTGTTTCAACATGTAGATGAATTTATGCAGTCCAATGGACTCTGAGGAGAGGACCAACTGCACTCAGACCCTAATAATGATGAATCTCACTGGAGACTTGGTTTAAATACTATTTTATATGTGGTGCAAATTAAACTGCTTAGGAATCAAGACTGTATCAAGTCCACATGGCTTACAACTTTTTAATCCACATTTGACATGAAAATTGATGCTATACTATGTTGTACTACAGATTTTTGATTCAAGTTGAGTAGTCTACTAAGAAGCCAACAGAACTCAGTTATAACTTTCACTGCTACACTGACATCATGAAACAAAGTGAGTCAGACTATCACAGAGTAGTCACAGAATAAGCTGAACTTTTCAAAGGAGTAAACTCCTTAATAACAATAATTCTAGAGTGGGCCTAAGGGAGAAAATGCTTTGGAAGGTTCAGTAAATGCAAGATAAGACTGGAATATGACTCCCTAACCCTGTTCTGTGAGTCAAGTGGCAAAGAGGAGACCTATGAGTGGATTAGTAGATTCTAGGCCACGATTCCAGCATCAATGAAAGCAGTAAGGTAAAGATTCTTTTAGTGAACTACTAGTATTTAATCTTTTAAAAATTTATCATTGTAGAATTACCAAAGTCTTATGGCAGCTACATATTGAAGTAAATGTCTATGGGCGTATCTAAACAGTTTATGTTCAAACCTGTGTTAAGACTTTGCAGACTACGTGATGTACTTTACTATTATCCACAGCCTTAACTATAGTGCTTTCTGTAAATGTTTGAATCAAACCCCCTTTCCCGTAGGAAGATTTTCTGTATGATCTAGTTTAGGCCTTCCTGCTATACGTTCCTATAACAACCTGTACTTTCCCCTTCTAACACGCATCAAGCTTGAAATAACTAACAACAGTTTTCCCATTAATTACAAGCTTTGCGAGGGAAGAAGCCCTGTCCGCTTTGATTCCTGCTGTACTCCTCAGCACAGTGCTTGGTACACTGGTATATATTGTGGGGTACATACTGACAAATAGGGGAAAAATAAACACAACTTGATAAAGAGCTACAAGTCTCTGAACTCTTATATCATAAATAAGATGAAGTAATTCTGACTCTCCTTCTGTTGTAATGGTAGTTCTGGATCGACACTGTCTAATGCTGTGCAGGATAATTCTGAGACTTGGACAACAGAAGAGAGCTTAAAATTCTACATCAGGTGAATTATTTTTATGAAGATCCACTTTATGCTATATTCTTTAAAACACAAAGAACCAGTCCTTTAATTTGGTGAAAAAAGAGCACTTTGATTGAGCACTTAATAGAAGACATTAACCACAGAATACATACTGTGGATTCTTCTCATCTTTACATTAGCTTTACAAAGTGGATGACTTTGCATATTTGGAAAGGTTAATTACTTATCCTTGAATCTAAGAACTAAATATCTATAAAAATATTAGAAAATAGCAAATTTCCTTACCCAGGTCAGCAAATCTTCCCCAATTTGATCAATAACAGAAGTCTCATTTCTCTTTCGAACAGTCTTCATTTGCTCATTCAACCCAACTCAAGGGGAAAAATAAAATGGAAAAAATTAAGCATATACTCATTTCAGGCTGTTACTGGCAGTACCAAGAACTTAAATTTTCAAAAAAACCAAACAAACAGATTCATAGTAGTACAGCTACTTCTAATCTCCTTAAATATGAATCTAGACACAATTCTTATACATCTAGATATCTGTGAGCTCTGAGAAACAGATGGCAAAGCACAAAACAATGTGAACACTAGCAAATTACATACAGGATAGGTACATCAAATATTCATTTAACTTCAAGACTCCATCTATAACCATGCTTGTAAAGCACTTAAATTTAAATAATGCAGGTGATTCTGCCCACTGTTCACAGGCAGTGGATATATCAAGCCTGAGCCAGTCAGGGCAAGCTGGTGAAACACCCCCACTGCCCAAAGGAGTAAAAGGCACTAATTTGGTGGGCAGGTGTTGAAAGATGATGATGGCACCCTGATAAAAGAAAGGTGAAACATTAGAGGTCATGGAGAAACAGTGACTTATAAAGAGAAACTGATACTACTGACTACAAAGTCTGAGATGAGTACAACCTGGGAAAGCCAGCAAGAAAGAACTTTCCTATATTTACTCAAGTGTTCCAAGCAAAAACAAAGAATAATTTAATTCTGAAAAAGGTACCATCATGGGGTTATATACTATATATTACTATTTTCAAAATGCATTTATAAATATGTATTATATGGGATATATATTTTTAAAAACATATACACTGTAACTGATAGGGAATTTTCAAGGGTAATTTTGACTACTCATGTTTTTCATCTAAGACACTGACATTAGATCCCAAGTCTTGTGTGAACACTGAATATAAAAGGCTGGTACAGGATTAGGGTGGAGGGGATATTCAAAGATCCAATCATTTCTTTATGTTGTGCTTACATACATAATTTCAGGAAAACTAACATGGGTACATTTACAAGATTTTACTGTTATGGTACCTTTACATACTCACAATATTTTATATATTGAAAATGTTAGGGACAAAGATCAGAGTCAATCTCTTACTGTGAAGTTGAAGAATATCTTCCAAGTTTGAAAAAATTTTCCGTATTTCTGAAGGTGACAGAATTCCTTCTCTGGACACTCGCTGATAGAACACTTGATCAAGAACCTTTAGTGTTCGAACATGAGCTCTTTCAGTATAAAACAATTCTAAACAGAAAAAAGGTAAATATAAAAGGTTGCCTTACTTAGAATAATTCCATGAAAAGTCTAGTACCTATCTTACACCATACATAGTTATTACAATATTATTGATTATATTCCTATAGGCTTTAGCTAGAATTAGCTAGCAAATAAGTTATATTTATTTATAGTTTAGAAAAGATATAGTATCTCTGAAGTCACTTTCTTGATTCCACAGAACTCTTCTACAAATTGGCTCTAAGAGTTTAATACTGGCAAATGAAAAATATCATTTAAAACTGTTTTGTACTTAAAAGTTAACAGTGTATTCTAAAACTTACCTGTCTTTTTACAGTACTTCCCACCAATCGTAACTACATTAGAAACTGTCAGCCCCACATCATAGGTTTAAGCTGGGCCCTCCTCATACACAACAGTACTCTTGGTTACCTAGCTTGTCTGTAAGCCCTCATTTCTGAGGCCAGACCTGTAATTTCACTATGTCTCAATGTTATCAGGGACAAGAAGATATTCATTCAAGTCATATCCTAAAGACAGTAGAGGGTGCAGCACCCAGGTCACGTCTGTCACACACACGCTTGGGTAAATAAAGAACGCTGCATTCAGGTGAAGGAGACCTGGAGACTAGTTTTCTCCCTATCACCTACTAGCTGTATGTTCTTGATTCATTCAAACCACCACTCTGAGCCTTAGCATTCTCACTTATAATCTATCAACAAAAGTCTGATAGTAAAGTCTGAAAGTAAAGTCACGGGGCAAATGTCTCAGTGATTTTTCTAGTTTTTAAAGTTCAAGGATCATCTATATAGTTTAATTTCCTCTTTGTTTAAAACAAAAGGCAAGCTGAAACTTGGAAGCAAACACCAACACTCCAGGTATTTTCTGCTCTAATAAAACTCAGTATATATGAACAACAAAAACTAATTAAACTCACCATTAATTACTTCCTGCCTTTTGATTTCACAAGGCTTTAGTCCCAATAACACTTCTCGACTAACGAGCTGTTGCCAGTTGGGTGGATCTGTCTCTAAGTCATTTTCAAACTGTTCATCCTCACTTTGACTTTCTCCAAAAGCTATGCTGTCTAACCTAATAAAGAAAAAAATGATGATGAATCCTATTTGAGGACATCAAATGGACAATGGAAAACAGCATAAGTTTTTACATTATAGTAAATCAGTCTGACAGATTGTGTACAGTGTTTCTTTTCTTTTAAAAACTTATTTTTCAATGACAGTTGACATACAATATTTTATTAGGTTCAGTTGTACAACAGTGATTAGATGTTCATATAACTTGCAAAGTGATCATCACCCTGATAAGTCTATCTTACACCACACAGTTACTAACTATATTCCCGACGGTGTACTTAATATTTCCATGACAATTTTATAACTTAACCCCTTCACCTTTTTCACCCATCACACCAACCCCACTCTCATATGGCAATCATCTATTTGTTGTTTGAATTTGTGGATTTGTTTGTTTTGTTTGCTCATTTATTTTGTTTTTTAGGTTCCACATATAACTGAAATCACATGGTATCTGTCTTTCTCTGTCTGACTTATTTCACTTAGCATAATACCCTCTGGATCCATCCATGTCACAAATAGCAAGATTTCATTCGTTTTATGGCTGAGTCATATTCCATTGTGTATATGTTCCACATCTTCTCTATCACTCATCTACTGATGGGCACTTAGGTTGCTTCCATATCTTGGCTATTGTACATAATGCTGTAATGAATATTGGGGTGCATATATCTTTTCAAATTAGTGCTTTGAAATACCCAGAAATGAAATTGCTGGGCACATGGTAGTTCTATATTTAAACTTTTGAGGAACATCCACAGTTTTCCATAGCAGTACACAAGAATTTCCTCTGTTCCACATCCTCTCCAGAACTTACTGTTTGTGGATTTCTTGATGGTAGTCATTTTGAGGGATGTGAGGTGATATCTCATTGGGGTTTTAATTTGCATGTCCCTGATGATTAGTGAAATTGAGCAACTTTTCATGTATCTATTGACCATCCTTTTTCTGGTGTTAATATGTATGATTTCCCTATATATTTGGATATTAACCACGTATGGGATGTATCATTAGAGAATATTTTCTCCCATTCAGTAAGTTTTTTGTTTTGTTGATGGTTCCCTTCACTGGACAAAAAGTTTTTAGTTTCATATAGTCCCATTTGCTTATTTTTTTGTTTCCCTTGCCTGAGAAGACATATCCAAAAACCTATTTACTAAGAGCGGTATCAAAGAGTTTACTACCTATAATTTCTTCTAAAAGTTTTATGGTTTGGGGTCTTAAAGTCTTTAATCCATTTTGAGTTTATTCTTGTATACGGCCTAAGAAAGTTATCCAGTTTCATTCTTTTGCATGTATCCTTCAAGTTTTTCTAACACCATTTATTGAATAGACTCTCTTTACCCCATGGTATATTCTTGCCTCCTGTCATAGATTAATTGGTCATAAAGGCATGGGTTTATTATTTCTGGGTTCTCTATTCTGTTTCATTGATCTATGTGTTTTTTATGCCAGTACCATGCTGTTATTACTACAGCCCAGTAGTATAGTTTGATATCAGGTAGTGTGATACCTCCAATTTTGTTCTTTCTGAAGTGGTTCCATATAAATTTTAAGATTATTTGTTCTAATTTGGTGAAAAATGACACTGATATTTTGATATGATTGTACTGAATCTGTAGATTGCTTTGGGGAAGTATTAACATTTTAATGATGTTAATTCTTCCTATACATGAGCATGGTTTACACTTAACTTATTTGTATTTTCTTTAATGTCTTACAGTTTTCTGAGTACAGGGTATAGGTCTTTTACCTCCTTGGTTGACTTTATTCCTAGGTATTTAATTTCTTTATGGTGCAACTGTAAATGGGATTGTTTTCTTAATTTCTCTTTAAGAAATAATTGTTCATTATTATTGGTGTATAAAAATGCAACTGATTTTTCTAAACATTAATTTTGTATCTTTCTATTTTATTGAATTCATTTATTAGCCTAATAGTTTTTTGGCAGAACATTTTAGGGTTTTTTATATACAGTATTATGTCATTGGCAAATAATGAGTTTTCCTTACTCCTTTCCAAATTGGATGCCTTTTATTTATTTTTCTTGTCTGATTGCTGTGGCTAGCAATTCCAGTACAATGTGGAATAAAAGTGGTGAAAGTGGATATTCTTGTTTTGTTCTTGATTTTAAAGAAAAAAGCTTCAGCTTTTTCTGCTGAGTATGTTAGCTATGGGTTTGTCATATATGGCCTTTATGTTGAGGTATGTTCCCTATATCACGACTTTGCTGACAGTTTTTATTACAAATGAATATTGCATTTTGTCAAGACTTTTCTACATCTACTGATGGGATCATACAGTTTTTAACCTTCATTTTGTGTATGTGGTATGTAACCTTAAATGATTTGCAGATATGAACCAACCTCGAGTGACAGAGCTAAATCTAACTAGATCATGGTGTATGACCTTTGCACTGTATTGCTGTATTTGGTTTGCTAATATTTTGTTGAGGAATTTTGCATCTAGGTTTATCAGGGATATCGGCCTATAATTTTCCTTTTTTGCAGTGTTTGTCTGGTTTAGGTATCAGGGTAATGCTGGCTTCGTAAAATGATTTTGGGAGCCTTCCCTCCTTCCATTTTTTTAGAATAGTTTGAGAACAGGTATTTCTTTGAATGTTTGGTAAAATTTTACTGTGACACCATCTGGTCCAATGCTTTTGTTTGTTAGAGAGTTTTTTGATTACTAATTCGATTTCCTTAGTTATTGGTTTGTTCAGATTTGTTTCCTCCTGATTCAACCTTGGAAGATTGTATGTTTCTAAAAATTTACTGATTTCTTCCACGTTATCCAATTTGTTGCAATAAACCTGTTTGTAGTACTACTTTATAAACTTTTGTATTTCTGTGGTGTTAGTTGTCTCTTCTCTTTCATGTCTAGTTTTATTTGCCCCCCCCCCTCGCTTTTGTTGTTGTTGTTGACGAGTCTAGCTAAGGGTTTATCAATTTTATCTTTTCAAAGAACTAGATCTTGGTTTCAATGAGTCTTCCTTTTTCCTTTTCTTTTTTTAAATTCTATTTCATTTATTTCACCACTGATCTTTAATTTTTCCATCCTTCTCCTCACTTTGGGGTTTACTTCTTCTTCTCTGTCTAGTTCCTTTAGGTGTATAGTTAAGACTGTCTGAGATTTTTTTTTTCTTGAGGTATGCCTGTATTGCTATAAATTTACCTGTTAGAACTGCTTTGCCCCAGAGATTTTTGGTCATTATGTTTTCATTTTCATTTGTCTCAAGGTATCTTTTGATTTATTCCTTGATCTTGTTGTTCATTCATTCATTGTTTAGTACCATGTTAATTAGTCTCCATGTGCTTGTGTTTTTCAGCTTTTTTCTTGTTATTAATTTCTAGTTTTGTACTTCTATTATCGGAGAAGATAATTATCTCTGTCTTAAATTTATTGCGACTTGTTTTGTGGCCTAACGTAGTTTGTCCTGGAAAATGTTCCATATGCACTTGAGAAGAATGTATATTCTATTCCATGCATCCATGTCTCCGGACCGATGGAACATACTGACAGATCTCAGAGGGGAGGGAATTGGGGGGGAATGGAAAGAGATTAACCGAAGAACATATATGCATAGCCCATGGGCACAGACATAGTGTGACGAAGGCCTGGGGTGGGGTAGGGGTTGAGTGGAGAGGGGCAATTGGGGGGGAAATCAGGAACACCTGTAATACTGTCAACAATAAAAAAAAAACAAAGTAGGGGAGAAAAAATAAAGAATGTATATTCTGTTGCTTTGGGTTGAAATGTCATAGGTATCAATTAACTCCATCTGACCTAATGTGTCATTTAAGGCTACTGTTTTCCTTGTTGATTTACTCTCTGGATTATCTATCCAGTCATGTAAATGAGGTGTTAACATCCCCTAGTACTATTATCTTATTATCAACCTCTCTGTACTTGTCTATCACTATGTATTTTATATAGATATTCCTACATTGGGTATGTATATGTTTACAAGAGTTATGCCCTCTTGTTGATCCCTTTATCATTATGAAATGCCCTCTTTGTCTCATTACAGCCCTTGTTTAAATTCTATTTTCTCTAAGTATTGCTATACCAGCTTTTATTTTCATTTCCATTTGCAGAGAATGCCATCTTCTATCTTTTTACGTTCATTCTGTGTGTGTCTTTAGATCTGACGTGGGTCTTATTTTTTTTATCCATTCATCTACCCTATGTGTTTTGCTTGGCACATTTAGTACATTCACATTTAAAGTAATTATTGATATAGGTATGCAGTTACTGTCATTTTATTAATGGTTTTCTAATTGTTTTTGTCATTCTCTGTTTCTTGCCTATTCTCTTCTTATATGTTGATGACTTTCTACAGATTTATGTTTGGATTCATTTATTTATTTATTGTATATCTCATAGATTTTTGGTATGTGGTTACCACTTGCTTCATATATATCAAGGCTGTTTATAGCAGTCTATTCTAAGACATTCTAATACCACTACAATTTTTACTCAACCCCCCCTCCATATTTGTTTTTGTCATTAGTTTTTACTTGTTTCATGTGTGCCTTTGTGTGTATCCCTTAATTTATTGTTATAATTACACATGATCTTCCTACTTTTGCCTTTTATACTTTGTACTAGCTTTATAGTTGATCTTCGGCTTTTACTAAGTATTTGCCTTTGTCAGTGAGAATTTTTTCTTTCCTATATTTTCTTAGTTTTATTTTTTATCTTTTCTTTTCTACTTATATAAATCCCTTTAAGATTTTTTACAATGTGGGTTTATTAGTGATAAAGTCTTTTAGCTTCTATTTGTCTAGAGAGCTCTTTCTTTCTCCTTCAATTCTAAATGATAACTTTGCTGGGCAGTGTAATCTTGGTTGTGGGCCCTTGCTTTTCATCACTTTGAATATTTTGTGACAGTCCCTTCTGGCCTGAAAAGTTTCTGTTGAGAAGTCAGATGAAAGTCTTATGGGAGCTCCTTTGGACATAACTGCTTTTCTCTTGATCCTTTTAAGATTGCCTTTTACCTTTGGTATTTTAATTATGACGTGTCTTGGTGTGGGCCTCTTTGGGCTCCTCTTGTTTGGGACTCTCTGCACTTCCTGGGGCTGTAAGTCTATTTCCTTCTCAAGGCTAGGGAAGTTTTCCGTCATTATTTCTTCAAATAGGTTTCCAATTCCTTGCTCCCCCTCTTCTCCTTCTGGAATCCGCATGATGTGGATGCTGATACACTTGTTGCTGTCCACGCACCATCCTCATTCTTTGTTCCTTTTGCTTTCTGCTGCCTTGTTTTCCAGATTGAAGATTTGATCCTCTTCTTCAATCTGCTGTTGACTCTTCCAGTGTTTTCTTCATTTCACTCCTGTGTTCTTCAGTTCCAACTGGTTCTTTTTTATGTTTTCTATCTCCTTATTTATCTCTTTATTTATGTATCCTCTCTCTGTTAATTTCTCACTGCATTCATCTACTCTTCTCCTAAGTCCATTGAGCATCCTCATAACCAGTGTTTTGAACTCAGTCTGGCGGATTATTTGTCTCCATTTTGTTTAGTTCTTTTTCTAGAGTTTTGTCCTAGTCTTTCTTTTCAAATATACTATTTCTTTGTCTCTTCATTTTGGCTGACTCCCCATGTTTGTTTCTACATATCTGCTGTCTCCCATTCTTGGCAGAGTGGCCTTATGCAGTAGGTGTCCTATGAGGCCCAGATGTGCAGTCTCCCTGGTAACCTGAGGTGGATGCTCTTGGGGTGTCTTCTGTGTGGGTTGTGTGTGTCCTCCTGTTGTAGTTGAGTCTTGATTGCTATTGGCACATCAGTGGTGGGACTAATCCCTAGGCCAACTGGATGTGAGGGCTGGCCATGGCTTTATCAGATGAGCTGTTGTGCGAGGGCAGGGCTGTGGTGGCAGCTAAATCCACCCTTTGAATTTGTTGTTTGTGGAGCTGGTTGGGTACTGCTCTGGTGTGTTCTGAAGCCGGCCACGGGGTATGTTGGTTCTGGAGCCTCATGCAGTCTTAAGTCAGCCGCTGTTTATGCTCAGTTTGTGCCACCTAATGGGAGCTATAAAGCACTCTGTGGTTGGCTGCCTCTTATGCTGGAGCTGGAGACACTTTGAAGAAGTTATGCTGCAACACAAAGTTGGCTGTCAATAATGCCAGGCTTGAGAACCTCTGATGGTCACCATGATGTGAACTGGGGCCAGTGGCCACTTGTGCTAGGCTTGTGACCACTCAGTTGAAGCTACTTTCCAAGCCAACACTGGCCACAGCTTATGCCAGATTTGGGGCTACCTGATGGGAATTACAATGCAAGTTGAGACTGACTGCTGGTTGAACTGTGCTTGGGGCCACTTAGCCAGTGGTACAGGGTATGCCATGGCCAGCCCCTACTTGTTTGAGGTTTGGGGACCCTTCAAGGATTTTAGGAAAATCTGCAGCATGAGCTAAGGCAGATGGCTTGTATGGAAAAGTTGCTGGAAGTGGCTGAGGCTGCCAGTGTAAGTTGCGTGGGGCAGTGTCTGAGTGAATCAACACGGCCGGGAGAACAATGTTAGCCAGGTTCATAGAGAGCACAGATTTGCAGCCAACCTGAGCCTGCCAGATAGGTGGGGGAGGAGTCAACAAAGGAACTGTGGTGCCTGCCAGCACTTCTGTCCCTAGAGAGTGTTGTTCTGATCTCTGTTCTTCTAGCTCTCAACCCTAACCTACTCAATTTAGTTCCTCCCCATATGTCCCTGGCACTTCTTGAACTGCTGTTCCTGTGTGGAGTCCAGAGTGAGTGAATTCATGAGTGAGTCAGTACATGGTCCTCTCAAGAGGAATGCCTGGGACTCTAGCAGACCTCTGCTTCACTCAGATTCAATTCCTGTTGGTTTTCACAGCCCAATGTTATGGGGACTCCTCTTCTCAGCACTGCAGTCCCAGGCTGGAAAGCCCAGTGTGGTCCTCATTCCTTACCAGAGATTTCCATAACGAGATATCCGTTCTGATTCTTAATCACCACACTGTAGGTGTGGGACCTGCCCACTTTCTGTCTCTACTCCTATCAGTCTCAACAGGGCTTCGTTATATTCTTAGTTATAGCACTTCTAAGTTCAGCTATTCTTCAGGTAGTTCTCAATGATGGTTGTTCTATAATTTAGTTGTAACCTGATACGGTCATGGGAGGAAGCAAGCACAGCATTTACCTATTCTACCATCTTGACCAGAAGTCCTGAGTCTCTTTTCCTTTAAAACAGGATGTCAGGGCAAGAAAATGTATTTCTTAAAATATGCCCTATTAAAAGCTACTTTAGGGTTACTTACTTTCGAAAGGGCTTTGGTGTCCCATGTTCAGTCATTCTAAAACAATGGAAAATAAAGAGTCAACATAAAAACAAAATAGTAATCAAGAAATTTATGCCAAAGTATTCAAAACTGGGTTAAACTACAGTGACTGATAAATAATTCTTCTGGATATTTTAGATTAATATCAAGTAAATTGAAAAACATTTAGTATCTTTCCAATATTTACTACCAATTAAAGTTCTAGTTCCTTCCCCAAAAAACCACATTTGGGGAAAACTATGTAAAACATAAACATATTATACAATCAAAAAACTTGAAGCAATGTCCTAAACTTAAACCTAAGTTATTACTGAATTACCTTTCTACTTCCCATTCCTCCTCTTGCACCTGGTCTAATGGAGGAGGCAGAAAATCAAAGACGGTATTGGAAGTACGAGGTGTGCCATCTAAGGAGTCTCCAGATGCTGGTGCTTCTCCAACTTGCTTTGATCCTGAGAAGACAAATGTCAGACACTTAATTCGGGTTATATACATGTAACAGTATATACATATTAAGATGATGATTACAAGAAATATATTAGTACCAAAAGAGCTTCAACCTAATCCATAGTCATATTCGTATTTAAACAATTGTGGGTTAGGTAGAATCAAAATTCTAATATATAAAATTTTAAAATACACTAAAAAATAAGAAAATCACTTTTAAACAGCTTTTAAATGTCAACACAAGACACGGCAACAACTCAGAAGAGCATATGATGTGAGAAACAGTCTCTCACCGATCCTTTTCTACCCCAGTCCTTTCCATTCACATTTCAGATACTATGGTGATACAACAGTGAACAGTAACTTCATGCTTCTGTTTTTACTTTATTATCCTTAAGGAATAGCTACTTCTTGCTCATTCATGTTTCCTACCTTCAATTTTCCATTTCTTCCTAATTTCAATAATTATATTATTAGTTAGGTTAATGGCTATTACCTAAGTTTAAACAATATAATTATATCTATATTTTTGTTCCTTGGAGAAATTTGCATCTTAACTTATGTCAGATAAGGTATTCAGTGTACATTTCCTTCCTTCTAATTATATTTCTTTACTTCTACCTTCATTTCTTTCAACTTCAATTTTACTTGTACGATTAAGAGGACTTCTTACATTTCCATTCTGATCTGTAGCCACAACTAAATAAATATTCTGGGCTTTGCTTAAGAGGCTGATTCTAAAAGTCTGAAAACCAATATAGTGCTTACAATGTTACGACAATAAATACATATTGTCATATACAACATACATATACATTATTCCTGCCAGGTTAAAAGGTATGCTAGTTAGGATTATATGTTCTTTTCTTCTGAGCCAATGATGTAATTCCTGGACCATTTGAAATAAAATATTTATTATATTAAAGTCTTATACTCCATCAATTACTTTAGGATTATGCCACTTATTTTGCTTCATGTTTAAAATCATGACTTAACTTTCTGAACAACTGTTTTTCTAAGTGCTCTTCTATTATTACTGCCAAAGTAATATAATTTCATCAAGTGTCAAATGTTTTCATCAGCCCCATCATACAACAGTGTGCTTAACATCCTCATGTTCCAATCTGAACAGCTTCTCCCTTGGGCCGTGACACAATTATCACCCTAGAACTGCCCTTCACCACTCTCCTGGGTTGTTTCCACTTTTTCCTGGATTTCATGACATTTTCTTTCTTAATATTACTCTCAATTTGCGGAAGTGGGATCTTCAAATAATTTTTAAGTAAAAGGCCATGTCAGTTAAACTTAATCCTGGCATATCTGAAAATGTCTGTATATCTTTCTTCATATTTTATGGATAGTCTGAGTGAATAGAGAATTCTAAGTTCAATACCATTTTCTTTCAGCAAGTTGAAGACTCTGCTCTTTGTATTCAAGCACCTTGTGTTCTAATGAGAAATGTGATGCAGTATAATCCCATTCATTCTCTTAAAAGCTTTTAGGATTCTTTTTTTTTAATCTTTGGTGCATTGACATTTCCAGGTATTTTAGGTACAGATCTTTTATTTTTATTATTCACTGTAGTTGGTTCCAAGTGAGCTCTTTCTATCTGAAAATGTGTACTCTTCTTCAACTCTGGGAAGGTTTCTTCTGTCATTTCTCTGTAGCTTCTCCATTTCATCTACTGATGTTTTGTGAAAGAGGCCTGTAGTGATTGATTTTCTACATAATTCTCGTCTCTTTAATTTCTATCTCTTGATACACATTCTGAAATATCTCCTTGACGTTCTTTTCAGAGACTATTTTTTTTCTTTACATATGGGCAATCTGAGAATATGTCCATATATTCTTTGATACTCTCCTATTCCGTGGTAAAGCCTACTTTTTCTGTCCTGAGTGTGTACTAGGGTTAGTGACTTGATTCTAACTTGCTAAGGTGACAGTACGAACCCACAGACTAAAGTCATGAAGGACACGGGGGTTTCTTTCTTGCTCTTTCTTTTGGCTCATTCTGGGGAAAGTCAGCTACCATGTCATGGAACACTCAAGCAGTTCTATGCGGAAGTCCACGTAGTAAGAAACTATTAATATAATAATTATTGTACTGTATGTAGTAGCTTATATTAAAACTTTTTAGGTCTCTGAATGCTTTTTCATAGCATCCTATTCTTGTTTTATAGATATAAGTGGAGCTCTGGTTCTGGAACTTAATTCATTCTGGAAGGGTGTTCAAGAACTGACTTGTTCAAAAACCAAGTCAGTAGCAAAAGCAAAAAAACTCGAAATATTCACAGGAAAATTTCCTGAGATACTAACAATGCGAGGTGTGGTGGTAAACTGACTCATACTCACACATTCTCTTTTGTCTCCTGAGACACACGTGAATAATCATACAGGTATCAGCATGAAAGGGTTTTCAGGTCAAGAACCAAAAGTTTTGTTCAACAACTGAGACTTTTTCCCGTGAACAACTTGGTCAAGAACCAAACTGTTCAAGATGGGAGATGTTCCAGAACTGAGGTTTGATTGTAATAACCTTTCTTTTCCCCAAGTATACTATCTAACTGAAAAGGCATTATTTCGAGTTCTTGTCTATTATGAAAATTATTATTTTCTGCGAGGGGCAGTTTTTCTGTTCATTTTGGATTCTCTTTTTTATACCACTGTCTAATATGCTTGGCATTATACATTATCTTAGATGTTGACGCTAAGAAGCACATTTTGCCAAGAGGGAGTAATGCTGTTCATACTTAAGAATGCAAGACCTGGCAAATGATGTGGCTTTCATCTGTGCTATGTGGAAGTAGATCCATTTCAATTGGGATTCTCTAAGCAGAGTGAGTCCCTGGCATTTCTACTGTCAGGTTTTAGGCCCCCAAATGTTAGAACTCCAGGACATCATACTGTGGAGACTTAACTCTCTCTACACAATTCATTCAGCTTCCCTAAAACAGAGCACACTTGCTTGCTTCAGGTACATAAACGACAGACTGCTTATATTCTACAATGCAAGGATCAGAAGCTGCTGACATAATTGTTTTGATTATAGTTTCAACTTATTCATCCTTTCCAGCTTTCCTTCTTAGTCACGTACCCAAAACCCATGCCAGCTCTGAACCTGAAGTCTCTACAGGGCACACTGGCTACCACCTTGGATTCCTTAAACAAATTATGGGCTCCAGTTTCCTTTATGTTGTTTTATTCATCAAAGCACTATTGTCCTCTTTCAATCTCCCAACCATCTGTTGAAATCTCTTACTTGTTGATAACATCTTATTTTCCTCTCCTTTTCTCTTTACGGTTTTTGTTTATTTGCTACTTTCCATGTTTGCATTTCAGTGAGACACGGGAGCCATGAGTTAAAGCATGCACATAATTCAGCATCTTCAGAGTTCTGCATCAGACAAGATCTCCATACTTCTTTGTCTTAAATAAAAACCTGCCTAATCCATGGGGAAGCTACTTTATTTGCAACAGCCCTCTCAAATGGAGGCTTGTTTCAGTCACCCACTGTGGACATGAGGGTAGAGATGATGGATACCCTTCTTCCTCAGTACGTTTTAGAGCATTACTTTGCTTTATTGTAAAAGCCCCCTTGCTCCCTGGATGTTACAGGTATCATCATCATCTAGTAACAACGAACCTTTGGCTGCTGTCTCAAAGTTTTCTTCTTCATGCTAACATCACACGAAGTGACCTCAAAACCCACATACATACTAAAAGTGACTCCTGTCTCCTCAGCTTCTTACCTTCGTCTCTAGCAACCTCCTCTATGCCACCTGAATGACACTCCACAGCTTCATCCTTGATCTTGATCATCAGAAACTGAACTGCCTCCCAAATCACTCACATAGGCATTCCCTTCTTCAAATAAAACCACCTTTCTCCCAGCTCACTTGGTTAATAAACCCGTTATAACAAGTATAAAGAAATATGACAATTAAGCTCTTTTCCCAGTTTCACAATTCCTTCCCCTCTCTCTGTCCGTTAAACCCTGTTCTCCCACCCGAGCCCACTCCTGGGGCACAATGCGTCTCTCACATGAACAGTGCATCGCACGCCTCTCTCCTCTTCAAAACTTTGTTCTGCTGGTTACAGTTTATCTCCTGCAGCTTCAACCTCTTCCTTACAAGTGGTTTCTCCTTAGCATTTAAAAGACATCTCCAGTGTCTTATTTTTAAAGTCATCTTTAGATCTCCCACATCTACCCAAACACTTGACTAGTCCCCTCAACACTCCCCTTACCCTTCCTCTGCTGGACTTGGCACAATCTGAATTTGTCTGTATATCACTCTCTCCTCATGAGACTGAGCTGCATGGGGCGTGAGCCTACGTATAATTATCCTATGCTAACATCCAGTATGAGCTGATGCCTAACAGAAAGCTCAGTAAGTATTTTTTGAATGGATGAGAACTTAAAAAAATTACCATTTGGCACAGATTTGCCACTAGCTGCTGAATATTAAAATACTAAAACTAAATTTAACTGGGATAATCTGCCACTCTATTTCTTAGTTAGTGTGACTGTTTTAAAATCCTGATACTTAGTTAGCTGAACTACAGCTCACCCATATCATTCTCTTTCCCTCCGTCTTGGGAAAGAGTGGCCACTGTGGCCACCGAGGACATGGGACTGGCCTGCAGGTACCCAGCGTCTGCTCCTTCACTTGCCAGCCCGCTCTGGCGTGACTTAGCAGCATCCTGGGGTTCAGGACTCACAGGTGAGGGTGTGGATAAATGCTTAGGGTGGCGCTGCTTCTGTAGCTCCATGGCTCTGCCAACTGAACAGAAAGAAGAGGTCAACAATTTGTGTTTCCAAACAGCTAAAAAAAAGATGTAAAATATCTGGAAAAATGTCTAAAACATGGTGGAGCCAGGAAAATATAGGGCTAATTATTACACAGTGAGAAGGGAAAGGAAAGGGAAGTGAGGAAGACAGAAAGAAATGAAAATAAGAGAAAGGCAGAGGAAGGTGGAGCAGGCAAGAAGAGGGGAAAAGGGAAAGAAAGGGAGATGGTGCAGCACGATGGGAGGAGAAGGGGGAGGAAAAGGTGAGTCATGAGAAAAGGAGAGGAGAGCGCGGGAGGAGGGGAGAGGGAATGCTGAGAGACCCGGCAGACACGTGTGGACTGGACTCATCTGTAAGAGCGAGGACGAAGCCTTTTAGCTCTGTGACTCTTGGAAGCTGCCCATTCTCCAGAACTCACAACTGCATCATCACACCCTGCCTCAGACACCATCAGGCGAATCCAGGCCTGTTCCCATCCCTGTTGCACCAGTCACACCACAGAGGTCAACCCCTCTCAGGTCATCCTCCTCCAGAGCACTGCACGTCCTCACAGAGCTTTCATAGCACTAATCCTAAAATTCTTCCTTCTTAATTCCAAAATTCTTCTTCTGTATCCCCTGGAACGCACGGTTAGCATCTGTGAAACACTCCATCTGCTCAATTTCTTCTCTAAAAATTTCCTCCGTCTTCTCAGTGTTTCTTGACAAGTGCACCAAGGGCACTGGGCGGGAAGGCCCCACTGCGTAGGACACTAGTGCCACCACACCACACCATCCCCACTCCAAACACACCAACATATTCAAACGTGGCACTGCACCGCTCCCTGAGCCAGCTTCTTCCCACAGCACCACTGTTCCCGTTTCTCCCACAGCCCTCGCTAGTGGGCTGATCTCTCAGGAGGCCGGATGGTGAGGGAGGTCAGAAAACAGAGCACAGCGGAGACGTGAAAAACTGTACAATTATGGAAAAAGTAACATATGTATAAAAAGATTAAACAAAGTATGGCGGGGAGACCCATTCACATTTTGTGTTCATTTTATGTTTTTGTTTTTAATTTCATAACCAGGACAGGTGGATAAATTATCTTATGAATAACTAACGGAATGCTCTGCTGCCACCAAAGAAGATGTTTACAACAATTATGCAGCCACTGGGGGGGGGGGTTAGTTC